GGGGGGGAGGCCGGCCTGCCTGCTTCGGAGGCGCCGCGGCTGGGCCTTGTTGCATTGCGGGGCGCTGCGGGAGGAGAAGGCAGGGCAGCGGGTGCAGGAATCGCCGCCTTCTCAGGCACGGAGAGCTCCTGGTGGCCGAGGGCTGGCTGGGCGTTGCCGGGGGGCTGCCGTTGACCCCGCGGGCGGGAATAGGAACCCTGGAAGGCCTTAAGAAGATCCGTAAAGGGAATCCTGTAATGCCCGTTTCAGGGAGCACACCTGCAATCCATGGACTGTGTGGGCAGTGTACGCATAAGCAGTGTTCCCTCTGAGCTGAGTTAGTGTGAGCCAGCTCACAGTTTTTTCGCCTCCGGCTCACACATTTTTGTCTTAGGAAGGAATGGCTCCAGAGCAAACGAATTTATGCAGTAGCCAAATCGCTCGCTCACAGCTTTAATGCCAGTAGCTCACAAAGTAGAATTTTTGCTCACAAGTGTTGGGTATTACAAGTTGAAAACACTCAGTATGTCTGGGGTTAAATGTTTGTTTATGTTACTCACAGGAAGTCACACGTTTCTCATGTAACCAATGTTCTTTAGATGTAGAAAGCCCGGGGATTTTCTCCCTGATCTAGGAATTTGATTGGGACTAAAGTGTCAAGGTGTATTACCATTTTATGGCTTCTCTTCCCGTCTTTGTTTGGTGTTCTGAAGAACAAGAAGAGCACCCATAATCTCTCTCTTCTAGTTTTGTCTTTGTAGAGTAAGGATGTAGTAGATTTTGCTCTGTTGTTATTTTCATCCCAGTTACCCTTCCCCTTACCCTTCCCATGCTAGAATTTAGTAAAAAATTTAATCACACATGGACTCTCAGTCTGAATTATTTTACTCAGGCACTGCTGGGCTATCTTATCTCTGCTAAATACAATTTTTTCAATCTCACTCCCAAGCCAACAACAAGACTCCACAGCTTAGGGGGAGCATTGGGTTGCCATAAGGTTTTCTTTCCTTGGACAAGAAAGGGGGGGGAATGGCCTGATTCATGAGTGCAAGTGGGCTGTTTCGGGCCCTGGCAGTTAAATAACATCTCCGGATAATTTCTTGCAGATCTAACTGATATTAAAGGGACAGCAGGAGCGACGGTTTTTAAAAGCCGGCTAGCATGTGGACGCATGATCTTTCTTTGCACGCAGGCTGACCTCTACAGTGGACACTGGTGGTGGAAGTGCCCAGTCACAGCCAACCTGAAGGGTTTTCAGGGCGAGTGACCGTCAGAGGTGGTTTGCCCTTGCCTGCCTCTGTGTAGCAACCCTGGACTTCCTTGGTGTTTACCCAACCAAGTACTAACCAGGGTCAACCATGATCTGACAGCAAAATCAGGCTAGCCTGGGCGGTTACCTTGAACATGAAATCAACATGCATCGAAGGAGAGTGGGCATCAGTGTGCTGGGCCTTCCCCCCCTTCCCTCATGAGTTGGCAGCTCATGAGCCTCCGTGTGCATACTGGGTTAGGGCTGCATCTGTGCACAGGTTAGGGTTGTCAGCTCTGGGCTGGGAAATACCTGGAGATTTTAGGGGCAGAGACTGTGAAGGGTGGGGTTTAGGGAGGGGAGGGATCTCAACAGGGTATAATGCTTAGCAGGAGATCTCCAGGTGCCACCTAGAGATTGGCAACCCTAGCATAGGTGCATTTCCCATGATTGAAAATACTCAAAAAAGCTGTGGTCCTGAGAAAGCCTGCACATAGTTTATAGCCATGCTCGTGCTGCTTGCCCTCTATACATGTTTATTTCCTGTTCAGGTAAAGGTGTGTACGAGGTCTGTATAACTCTCCAGTGGGTGTCTGGCTGAATGTGCAGTTAATTTAAACCCCACGTAAAATGTTGAAGTGGTAAAACAGCAGTGCTTCGGACTGTACACGGAGGGTTCCAGTGCTGAGTAATGTAATTTGGGAATGTAACAACTGTGAGAGGGCATGGGAGATACGGTATCAGTCTCCTTTGCATTTGTGTATGTGCATGAACAGAAGATAGCTCATCTAGTTGGGCAAAGAGTGGTGTCAAGGATTCCCTAATGTCAGTAAGAGAGGCCAAGAAGCCACACATTTAAAAGATGGTAGCTCAAGGGGGCAGGAGTTTGCAGAATAAAATCTGGACCTGAGCGATGGAGCTGCATGGGAAAAGCTGTGTTGGTGAGATGTGGCACACAGGAGTTTAGAGTCTAGGATCAGACCCCTTTCACTGCTGGCACAGTTAGTTTGTCACAAACACAGTCAGATTTGACCTGCTGCCCAAAAGGTGAAGAAGAAGAGGAGATTGGGGCTGAGAAAGCTCATTGAGAACTGCTCCTGAGAGAATTTGTGACTGACCCAAGGTCACACCAGCAACTGCATGTGTAGAAGTGGAGAATCAAACCCGGCTCTCCCAGATTAAAGTCCACGCTCTTAACCACTACACCAAACTGGCTCACCATGCAACCTCATCCGTGATTCAGAGTTTTGATGAACATGGCTACGGTAACAGAAGGGGAAGTGGCAGTGCGAGAAGCATGAACAGAGGGCTAAGGGGCAAGACCATGGAGAGAGGCAAGGAGCCGTTGGAGCAGAGAGGTTCCAGCCCCCCCACACTAGGAGTCCTTCTTTGTTAAGGCATCTGAGCTGCCCACTCCTTTGTTATCCC